ATATATATATATATATATATATACACACACACACGCACACGGGGTTAAGGATAAACTATTCCTAATAGCAGACCCCGCTTATGGAGAGGCATACCAGTGAGGTTAGGTATAACAGTTCCGGTAAATTAATTGAATTTTATTTGAATTCTAAACATACCTATTCATGTTCTGCAGTATACTTAGAATAAGCATTATAACGTTTAAATTATAAAAAAGTTGATCTTTGTATCACAAATCGGTAATTTTCTCAATTGATTAAAAAGTAAAAAAATAGTACTTAATGCATACATAGCGGTACTCATAACTTCAAGAAAATTGTAGAATTTTTAAGACTTGAGATTTTGTAAAACATATTATGTTTTCAAAAACACTCGTTCAAGTAAATTTCTCTGTACATTTTCACTGAGAAAATGACTGCTTCGTGCGATGAAAAAATCGCCTTGTTGGTAGGTATATAAGTATATATAGTGATGGTCATGTCACGTAAAATAATCATTATTTTTGAGACTTAATTCTTTTAATATACCTATGCTTTATATAACTATAATGATGCTATTTGAATAATATTGTTACGCACCCATATTATTCGCGGTTATAGTTAATAGGAAAAACAGCGGCAGAAAGAGAACAGCTTAGATTATATACACAAAGAATAAATTGTCGAAAATTAAAATGTATACAACACACACACACATGTATATTGTATACATATATATATATAGGTTTCCTCCAGTGGTATATACTTAAACTAAATAATATAGAACGCGTGCTATGTAATGATCGTATAATCACGTTAGTCATATATCGCTAAATCATTATCAAGCAGAAAGTGAATTAATATATAGTCTCGTTTAAACTGTTGTGTATACATTATTATTATATTACGTTTAGGTAGATCATATTGATGATCATTGATTAGACTGTAGGGCGCAGGCGTGAGCAATTGTTATTGCTGTTTGAGTCAATCCTGATGATTTCCAATGCGTTGACAATATAAAATACAAAATATGTTTGATGTTTTCGTATAACAACTACGTGTGGATATATTATTTATATTTTAGACACTTATAGGTACCTATGTTTACCAATTTCGATACGAATAATTATAGGTATGTCATAATTTGTCAAACGTCGCTTTACTGTTATTTACGGCTTGTAATTGCTAAATAGACAATTGAAGGAAAATAAACTCATGTGGAAGAAACTCATGGCGGAAAATTGAGGTGGTTAAAGAGACAAAACAGCTAGGCTGCGCGCTGAAAAATTTCTTTTTTAATATTCCTAAACAAATCTGTCACATTTTATACGTCGTTTATCTCATGAAAAATTTTATTAAAGCGAATTTTATTTGTGTACATCGTTATAAATTCATCATGAATATTAATAATAATAGTTGAATTTATGTTGACCATGACTTAAATGAGGACGCCATCATCAAATTTTTGATCGATACTAACACAATTTTAAATGATAAGGTATTATTTAGGTTTTGTATTCAGCTTATAACATAGCAATAGTCAATACGATATATTAAGTGAGCGTATTTAGTATAGGTAGGAACCTATAAATTATTATTATTATTAGCCTATAATAGCCTTATTATAGCCTATATATAGGCTATATGTGTAGTGTAACTTAATATTATTTTATATTATTTTATCTAGGTGAACAAAGTTGTTGCAGGGCATCAGGGCAATTATATGTTTTCAATGAAACGAACGACCAAGATACCGTAGGTTCATGTTCCTTTTGTAAAGATAAAGTTTAAAAAAATATGTTGCAAAATGGATGGGTTTTCCTCTTTCAGAATAACCAACTGAAAATATTGCAAGAAGTGGATACACATTATATTAATTTTTTTATTGTATCACTATTATAAAAGTGATACAATAGCTGTACCTATCTCATATTATATATGTCCAGGTATATTTACTGGGTTTACAGTTCTGTTATTTTTAAAAATTTGAAGATTTCTGTAGTGGTGTCTGTGTCGGGCCCGAGTGCTGCGTCTAAGGTGTTAGGAATGCAGAGGATGCCGGTTTCGTCAATGTATTGGAGGCATCCGGTGGTTATGTGGTGGACTGAGAGTTCAGTTCTACAATAATTGCACGTTGGTTTCTTCTCGCCATGAGATATCCATGAGTAAGACGGGTGTGGCCGATGCGGAGTCTGTTCACGATTATCTTTTCCCTTCTGTTTAGAGGTAGGTTAGGCCAGCCGCCGATATATTTACCCATGATATATTCGATGTATATACATACATTAAACAATAGTGTTATGTTTAAAACATTTCGGTTTATACATGCGGAGTATATGTTTTGTTAATATACGAGATAGGGCTTATGTAAGGTAGGAATCTCAAGACTTAGGCTCCAACAATACCAAAATCTCGTACTTCTGTGCATACATATAGTATATACTATATACCTATTACCTACACGATACGTAAATAGATATGAGAGACAAGCGGTTTTCACACGAATGCAAAAAAATATACGTCATGCTCGTACGTCACATATTATATTATTATTATTATTATTGTGCATATAATATAGTGTACTGCAAATAAACGTGTAACAACTATTGGCGGCGCTCGAATATATTATAATATTATATAGCTGGCAGGTATGCATAATACACGATTGTGTGCAGATCTGGTTATACATTTAATGTGTATGTACACATTTATATATGTGTGTGTGTGTGTGTGTGTGTGTGTGTGTGTGTGTGTGTGTGTGTGAGAGAGTATATAAGTATTCGCTTATCGTGCTATTGCTTCGGTTTCCTTATGTTTCCTATATATCTGCTGTTGCTGCAGTGTATGACAATGAATAATACCAACGTCTTTGTGCTAGTGTGTTTGCGTTGTTTTTTTTCAGGGTAAAAGGGCGTGACCAAAATGGAAAAAATATATATACGATTTTCGAACGACGTATAATTTTGTTTTCAAATACGTTTTTTGTTACGTATTTCCGTATTCAGACTTGCACGCACTATGTTATATATAAATATATACCATCACACTTCAACACACACATACACACACATACACCTTGAACCTCTCTGTGCAGACAACCGGTAAAAAATGTTGAGTTTAATTATTATTCTATACAATAAATAATAGGTAATACGGATCGGCGGCATATATATAGGTACCTAATATATTTTATATTTATTTTATATTTTTAATACTTTTCATATTTTAACTCACTATGTAGGTTTAATTATAGGTATATATTATAGTATATATATTTTAGACTGTAAAAAAAAACATCATTTTACTATATAGGTACCTATAAATATTGATGATTGAAAAGTATCACATACTATTGTATACAAATAGTTACTATCGGTACTTGCCTATTATTGGGGACGCATTAGCTCACAAGAAAGTTAGACAACTCTAGATGGGTACTGGCAGTACTAATAATAATTTATGTTAAACACATTTTTGATGAAGATAGGTAATATTATGTCTTCTTATCCACCCACAGTCCACGCTATCGCAATACCCGAAGTTTCCAAATCGATATTTCGACTAGTGTTTTCTTCATTTTTTAAGACATCAATTACCTATTGTTCCACTACATAAAACTGGAGATAACAAACAATGCTATAATTATCGCATTGACTTTCTATTTTAAAAATGTTTGAATAATGTTTGAAGAAAAAATTATTGGACTTAATACATTTAATTTTATTACTTTTCGGATAAACAATTTGGTTTTAGTTCTGGAAAGTCAACAACCGATGCCTTTTCTAATGGTATGCATACTGACATTTAATCTTAATAGGTCACAGTTATTAGTTAGTAATGAATAATGATTTAACAAAACTATTGGCAATGAATGGGGTAGAATAAAGTAGGTACTTCGACCAATTCTATTCATAGCATATGTTAATTATATTTTAAATTTAAAAATAAATGGTGAACTTATATCATACATATGTTGATGGCACAATAATTGTAATTAAAGGGAGTAATTTAACTGAAAT